TCAATCAATTTTGACAATATTACTGAGCAATGGATCAACACCAATATTAGAATGACCCGACTTAAGAAGTTAATTGGACCATTTGAAGCTATCAATTAAGTTGTATTGCTCATGGGACGATTATCCTCCTACTTGGATGGCTAGTATTACTAGAGGTCCATTCTATAAACCATTTAATTTCTATTGGGATCATGACCCATTAACTAAACTTAATAGACTTACCTTATTGGGCATTGGACTACCTATATATTCTTATGCTATACACGGCCTCATAAGACATGTCTCCTTCTTCAGCATTCTTCATTTTTTCTTTTGCCGAGTCTCTCTACCTTTTTCCACCATCCCTTTGTGGTGACTTTCTTGGTGGTTTTGCCTCTCCTTTGTGGTGTTCTCTAAGTAAGATAACATCTAGCAACTGTAGGTAGAAGCTTAGTGGTGTTCTTAGGTCGTTTGATTGATGGTGTTGATTTAGGTTTTGATCAACTGAGTAGGCCTTTAAAGCCTTGATGGTTGATGATTGAAGACTCTACAATGTATACAGCTCAACTGACGTACTCTGAAATAGTTAAGGAGTTAATTAATTAATATGAATACTTTAAATTAATGGACAACGTAACATTTGAAGAAGCCTGTGCTAACAAATGCACAGAACGAACTATTGTTTGAGTTAATTCAGATGTGAAATGCTGCTTTTAAAATAGAGATGAAAAAAATTGCTGACAGTAGAAATCGAATCAAACGATTTTATTGATAAAATAATTACAATCGAAAATCAAATATAAATACAATCAACAAATCTTCTCACCTAACTATAAGTTTCACCTCCTATTTTCACCTAAATATTTCAACTCAAAACAAGAGAAGAAATATCTGTTTGGAGGGAGGTATTTGAATTACATAACATATTCTTCAAATGAGGTGGTATTTATAGATTTTCCTCCAAGTGTTGGGGTAATATTGTCATTTTTGCATAATAACAGGAGGCGACTCCTTATTGGCTATCTACTAAATAATTCGGTTATGAATCAAGTTTCAACTGTTTGTCCATGTGCATCTTATTGACAACCTATAAGTTAGGTGACTTCATTTAGTGCCTCTTCTTTTTCTGAAGAAGTTAGGTGTACTGGAGCATTGCCCCATTCTGTAAGTCAGGAAGTAGTGTTCAAGTTAGAGTTGAGGTATGGGACGTGGTGCGCAAACTTTTGAGCAATTCGAATAGCCTTCAGGTTAGTGATAGGGAAGTTTTTGTGGCCTCAGTTATTTTTACCAATCTTATTGAAAAAGATTTGGGTGATGTTCGGGATAGTTCTAATATCCCTAGTGATATAGAGTTGTTATGCCTTGGCAGTTTCAAACTACGAATTGTCCTCTTCATGATTGTATAGCTATTCATAAGCATTCGATGGATATGGGCTTGGAAATCCTTTTCACCATTTATTCTGCGACATTCTTTCCTCCTTTGATATTGCTCCTATCCGAAACTCGCAGGTTTAAAGGGGAAACTTTCATCGAATATATTCTAATCCATCTATCATCTATGAAGGCAACAAACCCACAAACAAGATAATACCATCTTTCTCCTCGTTCTTCCAGAGTACGTTCAAAACTTGTAATTACCCCTAACAAGGTCCACAACTAGAAAGATGGTATTTTTTTTTTATTTTTTTTCCTGGCAATTGGGAGGGGGGGGCTTCAACCCAATGACCTCAACCCTTTCCTGTTGCAGGTTGGTCTTCATAATTCCTACACAGATGTACGTTATACGAGGTAGACCAGGCTTTTCGCTCTCCAATCTTCATGATAATTGCGCCTATCATACTTCTCGTTACGAACGTGCTTCTCATTGGAGAATCTCTCAAGGACAGGGTCATTCATCCGCTACTTCTGTTGCTTCATATTATTGTAGATTTTTAATACCAGAGTTGTTGCTGCTCCCAAGGAAGAAGCTAGCAACATGCTCCATTTCATTCTCACCAATTTCATCTTGCCAATTCGCCCTTAGACTTTCAAGCTAGTTCGTTGAGATTCATTTTCAGTTGTTAGTGTCTTGAAGTTTATCACTGTTTCCTGTATAGTCTCTACTGTGAACATGCTTCTCCATTAGAAATGTCGCCGAGCGGATGAAATGACATTGTATAATTTTGACAATGTTTCTTCTCGTCGTCGTTTTGGATTCACGTCACTGTCCTCCGAACCATTGCTATGCTCTTTCGCTCTCTTTTTCAGCACTTTCTTTCCTGCTTGGATCATCATCTGCAAATTTAAACATTTTCTTAGCTTAAATTGACAATTTTTTTGGTTTTCTTTGTTCAAGTTTTCCACAGACGACGTTAATTTTTTGACAATAAAAATATGATCAACAAATCCCTCTCATCTAACTAGGATTATCGCCTTCTAATTGACTAATTTTGATGCTTAACATGAGCAAGAGATGACATGACTATATGGAAGAGAGAGATTTGAATTTGCATGCATTTCTCCTCTTTAGGAAGAAGTATTTATAAATTTCCTTGGGACTCTGGGTCATTCTAGAAAATGATAGGTGGCAGCTATTTAGTGGTAGGCTGATAACTGATTCTAATATGTATTCAGGTGTTACTCTATGATTTAGAAGTCATATTTTTTAGATTTGCCCAGGTGTATTAAAGTACCAAATTTTGCCGCCATCAAGAGAGATTATTCGACTAGCCTTTTATGCGAGCTTCTTTTTGTTTTGGCTACCTTCGTGCATTTATACTTCGCCCAGGGAGATGCACTCGCAAGATAGACTTCTTATTTTGACATCAACTATAGCCATAAACAGCTTGAACCTTTCATGTAATTTGCAAATCAGGCTCCAACATTTTTTTTCCCTTTTTTGGGGTAAATGTATTCCCAGCCATTGGGAAATCATCAGAATTTATCATATGGTAAGTTAAATAATTTCAGTAGGGCTGAATTGACTAATTAATGAAAAGTTAAGGTCAATAACTCAATAATATCAAAGAAGAAAAGGTTGTTGACAAAGATGCGACAAGAGCTGCGCTTATTCACATCCTATTCACCTCCTCACTCGAATAACACAAAAGCCTTCGAACTTACAGCCACTGGCCATAAACATCTTTCTATGACACCCTGCCCGACATTGTCACGAGTAAGCCTCCCTTACCTAAACCACTTTCCTAAACTCTGTTTTCTTCATCGAATAGCACCCTACCTTACCTCTTGACTAATAAGAATATATAGGCTTTTTCGCTTGTTCGTCAAGCTTTCGAGCAGCTCTTTCAACTACAGCCTAATCCCCCAACATGCTTAAGAACCGAGAGCCGTCCAAGGTTGGGAACAGAATATGTAGTTTACCCATTTTAATACAATTTAGTGAAGAAGCTACCCCAATATTCCATTTGCGAAATTCCACTAATTTATTATTGCCAATTCTAACATTAGACGAACTAAGAGTTTGGGATTGAAGGAAAGTTGTGACTGAGTGTGGGGTGGTGGCTGTTGGCAATGAAAAGGGGCCAAGGGCTCGAGATGGAAGGGTTTGATAGGCTGACAGGGATGAAAATCGTACAAGTTTCTTGAAAAAAAGCATACTACTTTATAGATGTAGATGATAATATATAATGCTATACTTTAGCACTGCTCATGATCATCGTCTAATATAACAGTAAAGTTACTATCACATTTTTCAATAAATTAAAATGCGCAATTTTATTTTTTTCCCGGAATAACAGAACTATCTCACTACCACATAAAGCATTGGTTATCCTAGAGCATCTCAAATGTGTTTTATGGATTGCTATCCATGTGACAAAGTTGCATCTACATGGCACGTGTCTTTTATAACTTACAAATCAATATAAGGAGAGGCATGGAGAGAAAATCTATAAACAAAAACAGAATTAAATAATTGTTTAATGTTATGTTTAACAGAATCTCTAAATCTAGATGGAACTTTAGACAATTTTTTCCCCCTCTTTATTTTCACATCAGCTTGACAGAATCCATATCAAGTTAGCATTAGTGGATATTTTAGACATTCTATCTGGCTTATATGGTAAATTTTAAAGCAATCTACAAGAAATTTGGAAACAAATGTTTGCTTATATAAAGTACCACGAGACTCGATATCCATATGAATCCAAACCTATCGAGTTACTCATGGTATGATCTACATCTTATGTCTACCTATGGGTACTTCCATATATTTGGATGGAAACGATCAACTAAGACCCTAGCTTCTACAAAATAAAAGTTGAGGACTGCAGTATCACAAATTAAAGGTTGGAAGGACGCGTTTACATTTTCAGTAAGGGTTAGTATGAAATCAAACTGGATAGGAATAGGACATGAGTAAAACCAATATAATACATCTCAACCTCTTAAACAAAATGCAATTATTTTTTTTATCTAAATATAAGTAGCTTAATAAACTGCTTTGTAGATGGCCAATAAAATACAAAGATATTTATTAATTAATAAACTAATAAATCTAAAATGAACCGAACGAAAAACTGCAATTTAAGACTGAATTTGAATTTTTCTCAAATTATTCTAAATTAGTTGATTTATGTTCCATATTTTCGCTATCCACTTAAAAACAGTTTGATTAGAAAATATGCCAAAAAAACCGCTTAAATTGGACTGCTTACGCCTGATCACCTATTACAACATGGATATAAGCAGGCAAGCCAAACATGTCATCCGGGTTGGCAAACATAGTGCGGATAAAGCTTTTATTTAAGACTGAATTTGAATTTTTCTCAAATTATTCTAAATTAGTTGATTTATGTTCCATATTTTCGCTATCCACTTAAAAACAGTTTGATTAGAAAATATGCCAAAAAAACCGCTTAAATTGGACTGCTTACGCCTGATCACCTATTACAACATGGATATAAGCAGGCAAGCCAAACATGTCATCCGGGTTGGCAAACATATAAAGCTTTTGCTGAGTGTACCGACACCCGCGGGGGGGGGGAGGGGGTTGACACCCCAATGTACGAATAGCATCACTCTTTTACTAACACATCAAATAAGCAACTTTCTGTATCATGAGTACACGTCCAGATTCCAAACTTCTCGCGTAAAAAAATTGGATCCAAGTCCAAGCAACATGTAAATTTTAACTCAAAAGTCTGTCTAGCCAAACAAAATAGTAGATTGTGGTAAAGATACAAGAGAGTTCCTAAGTATCAAAATCTACACTCCCCTGTCAAATCTAGACTGGCCTTTACAGCCCAATATCTCAAATCAAAGCTACCACAAATAGTCATTTTTTATTTTCTTGTTTTCATGAATAACATTTACCTCGATTAATACAAGATGCAGGAAGGGAGGCTGCATCAAGTTGGAGGAAACGCACTCATAGTCACAAATAAGTCATTTAGTCACTCGTTCTGGCAACAATAGCTTCTACTTCCACGTCCAAATTATAGACATCTTACTGGTTATAAGATTTTCCTAGCATCGAATCTCATATGAACCTGCTTTTGTTATATAACGAACCCACTCGACCGTATTGTATCCACTCCTTTCCCATACCTGCCAATTAGATGATGAGTGAATTTTCGATCTTAATACAAAAGATAACAGAAAACACTGTATCATTTAGATGAGGAAGTATACCTTGAGGAAACGAACACGTAAACCAGATGCAGTAAACATGGGAACCTACCACAAAAGTTTGATCTTCGTGAGATGGAAAGGCAAAAGGGGGCAAGAAGAAAAAGATTATGTTGCGTAATGAAAGCCATACGTTGAAGATTTGAATTTTTATACCAGTTAGGGGACTTTGCTGTTCTAGTAATATACAAGTATCACTACAATACTTTACAACTCCACCCACACTCTCAGTGGGAGTGTTCTTTTTTCCTGAAGAGAGGAAAGGACGATAGAGAGGGACCAAATAGAATGTGCAATATAATAGAAACCCTATAAACAGTACCTAAATGTACAGATTAAGTTGTACAAAATTACCAGTTAGTAAGGTTAATGAGAGTCCATTATCCAATAGTTCTATAATGTTGGTGTTGGCACGCCATCTTACACTGTTGTAACAACTTTGTTTCCTAGGCAAATATAGGATATTTTCTTTCTTTTTATTCTGACACAACCCCTCCCAAGTCTTGAAATAACCCACCAATAATCCAACCTTCATCCCAAATTTTATACATAAAAAAAATGCAAGACTTCCCCCAAAATAAACGAATCTATGTCATTTTTTACTCACAATAATTTGACTGTGTTGAATTGAAATGTTAGTGTAATAGTAAATTAAAGTTATGGCACCTGAAATTCCATCTGAATAGGTGGCCGAGTCCAGGACTTTTTTTCCGTTATTGTTGAAATCAACTCCACTTCAGCACTCAATGTCGGCTCGGTTTGTCCAGGAAATTTTCTTATCCTGCAAAAGACACAGTATACCAAAAATTAAGCCAAACAGGAAATGTAAGAGAATTGAATGACATTCTTATAAATTATAAGGTTTGCAGTACCCATGATACTCGGACTCGGGTAAGGGTATGTATCTAAATGTCGGATCTTTTATTTTTTTAAATGTAAAAAATGGGGATATGGCTAAAAAGAGTCTAAATTTCGGACACGAGTACTTGGATCATCTTTCAAGCTTCAATTTTTAAACTAACTCAAGATATCATTTTGAATAAACAAAAATCAATTGTTCACAAAAAAGACATGAGTATTGAATAAAGAGTTAAGGCGAATAAAATAGAATTTTGAGGTTTAATTTTCAATTATGGAAAGTTAATTGCTAAATGTTATATAAAATATAAAATGAGGAGACTTGATTGCAATTTGGATTTAGTGGAACACTATATGGAACTCATTTTCATTTATACAAACAAAATCCTAAACCACCGATACAAAGAGAGAGAAGGAAAAAAGAAGAAAAGGGCAAGAAAAAAGAAAGAAAAAGGGAAAACCTAGCGCTATCGCCCTTCTCCATCCTCTCGAAGGTGGCGCTAAGTTTATAGAAAGCAAAAAAAGGGAAAAGAAAGAAAGAATAAGCAAAAAGGGCGAAATGTCAGGTTGAAACTTTGAGGATCCAACGCATATCCCATACCCATACCCATATCCATATCGTGTCGTGTCCGTCCGACATGGGTGCTCCTACTATTTCGAAAAGTCCGAGCATCGGAGTGCAGTACCATTATTTAATGCAAGGCAATTTTCTTATTGAGGTCTTGTGAGATTGTAGATTGCAATAGTAGTGGATCCTAGTGAAATTTGAGGATAAAAATAGAATTAGGCTAGTTTATAAGCAATTATAAGATTTGACATTCATACACCAAGTCAACGAAGAGGCTGAATATACTCAAAGATGATCAGACCACATATTGTTTTTCAAGAACTCGAGCTGGATGTCTCACCATGTCAAAATAGGCGGAAAATCATGAGCATTTTCTAAAAATTCGTTCTCCTCTTCCATCCCTTTTTGTCATCTGTATATACATATGTCATCTTACTCTTACAATGAAACTATATAATGTAGTATCCCTAAGAATCAGTTATCTTTTAATAGAAAGATAATTTCCAAAGATAGATTAAGTTCTTAGATAAGCACTTAATATCCCCCTCAAACTATAGCAAGGGGACAATGCGGCGAACTGCAACAATATGAAGACGTCAAGGCGAGCACATAAGTTGGCTGACCTGATGAACAGCATAAGAGATGCCCAGGTGAGTAGTGGTCAAATAGGTAGGGCATAATTGATCATCTCTCGTACCATGTTAGGGATAAGGGTGGTCAGGTTAGCTAAGGTAGCAAAAGCAGGAGTAGGAACAACTTGTAAGGCAGCAGGATATGTAGCAGATCCATAGACACCAGTGGAGACATGAAACGCAGTGATAAACTTCCTTTCAGGACGAATGGGATAAACAGATATGCGATGAACCCGTTTCTTGCAGTAGTTGTAATATTTTTTGGTACAATCCCAAGCAATATGACCAAAAGTGTTACAGCTGTAACACTGAACAGCACACGTCACGATCCTTATGCCTTCCTTGTGCTGCATAGGCCACAGGAACAAGAGAAGCAACAGCAGTCCCATGCTTCATAGCAGCCTGAGTGATAATAAGTTGCTCCTCATGAAGGAGTTCATTCAAATAAACATCCAGGGATGGTACAGGGTGACGATTCATCAGATTAGAACATGCAACCTCAAAGTCGGGACGTAGCTTCATCAAGAACTGATCTCTTGCTTGTTTAGAGTGGCAGCAGGAACATTAGCATAAATAATTGAATACTCAGCTCAAAGATGTTGAAAACCAGAAAAACATTTCTCACTGGATAGACTTCCATGTGCAAATTTAGCCAATTCAAATTCCAATTGAAACACCCGAGCCGTGTTATCCTGTTTGTAAACCTTACTAAGATGGTTCCACATATCAGCAACAGTCTTATGAGGCCTCAGATTGAAAACATGGTGAGGCTTAACTGAACTAAAGATCCAAGTCATATCCCAAGCATCCTTAATTTCCCACTTGGACAAAGCGTCCACATCTTTTGGGGCTGGGTCACTTCCATCGATATGATCCCACAACTAATTACCTTGGACGAATAATTGAAATTGAAATTCCCATGCGAAGTAATTTTTCCCATTAAAACAGATATGAAAGTAGTCTAATTTATCAGACGACATGATGGAATAAATTATTACGAGCGAACCAAAAAAATGTCATCCTGTGCTGTCCTCCACCTGATGCAATCCCTCTCTCCAATCCGAATTTGGGCCTCATGTAAAATGGTCATAAACAGCGAATAATCTTCCAATGAATTTCATCAGCTTAAACAGGGAAAGATGAAGCTTGAGGAATATGAGAGAGTTCGAACAACTCTCTAAGTACACACCACAACTGATCGATACGGAGGTAATATACTCCATAAGAAATGTGGTATGCACTGTGCAATGTTTAATTTATTGTTATGTAATTGTTTGTGGAAACTGCACGTATCTTACATGGTATTTTTAAATACTAACTCTTACTATAATTTTACAGGTTTGATCGAGTCGATTGGATTTCTGGTAGGATGGTGACGCGGGCTGCCAACAGGATCAAAGAAAAGGACAAATTATACCTTAAATTCTCTATCTTTAAATTTTAGTTAGTTTAAATTTATTCAAAAACGTTTTTAAATTAATTAGTTGTTCAGGTTTACTTTTTTAATTTTCATGTTTAATACTTTTTTTATTTTCATGTTTAAGTTTATAGATAGTTAGCATTTTTATTTTTAAAGAAATTTATTGTTCCGTATTCAAAACAAATAGGAGTTCTGTCGACACCTCAAGATTTATGAAAATTGTGAGGTATTACAACTTGGTATCAGAGCACAGGTCTACCTTTCCGTAGACATTCTTTCAAAAAAGAAAAAAAAAATTACCAGACGCTAAAAAAAATGTAAACAATGCCTGTCACTGTTCACAATGTTTACTGTGAACGGTGCATTATACTGTTCACGTTAACAATGAGAAAAAAAGATTTTTTTTAAAAAAATGGGGACTTTCGTTTGTGTGTGTGTGTGTATATATATAGAAGGTTAATATTTGTTTAAAATTGATTTTGAAAACCCCATTCGCTCCCCTAGCTTTCGTCTCTCGATGTCAGTGTCGGCCCAGCAGAGTGCTTTCGCCCAGCTGCGCCAGGGAAAAGAATAGAAGAAGGATCTGACTACTTCATGCATGCTCCACTTGGCTCGGGGCGATATAGCTAGGATAGTTCAAACTTTAAATTGTTATAGTTCGATGCTCACGTTTCAGATTTCACACGTCATAGATATTTATGTGTTTAGTTTTAATCTCTGGGTGATATTCTAAATATCTACTAATTAGAAAATTTATATTTTAAGAGATTTCACATTCCACTTATTGTTTGAATTTTCTTGATTTGCTTACTCGCAAGATTGAAAGGCTTTCTCAAAAAGACCAAAACTGTCTAAGAAGAGCTTGGAATTTAAGTGGCCCACTTGTGATCCCCTCTTCATCTGGAAACTTTTCGATTACATGATATTCAAATCAACAAGACGAAAAATAATATTTCAAACCAACTTAGATTTAAGAAAATACTAATTTTGAAACTTCTATTTTGAGAAGAATCATATTTTAGGAAATTTAAAAAAAATAAATAAATAAATGTAAATTATTTTTCATAAACAAGAGGACAATGTAATTTTTATTTTTTTTAAAATATTAAACATGTAATGATATGAAGAATTCTTGGCACGCTCCACTCACTACTTAACCACTCTCCAATTGATCCCAAGTATGAAATGTAATGTTATATTTTTAATAGGATTATGAGCCATCTTGTTCATGTTATGAAATGTACAAGTACGTTTACCTCGCATGATTTATTAGTCCAATTTTTTCATAAATATCAGGCATGGAGTTAAAATAATAGTCATCCAAAGATTAAGCATAATTGAAGTTATATTTGTCATAGAATTAGGGCTTGGCAACGACTCAATGACTAGGAATAGTCCAACATACCTTCATCGTGCTCAAATGACCATTGATAACTACATAAATTATGAAGTAAGATGGGAGCGAACCTTTGTTGAACATGTCGAAAATTTCATTTTTAAATGGGAGCAAGCAAGATCGTTTGGATATAATGAGGGGACAGTCCTCTCGATATACCATCTTATAAGCACAATGAGGCCTCAGTGGAAAGATATAGCTTACTTCGTGAGGGATATGGATTATGAGCTATATTTGCAAGAAGATTGGGATATGACTGATTTTAAGAAATACTGTGAAGACATCATAATCTTGTGAAACTACAAACAACAAGAGCTAGTGCCAGAAATCAAGCCAGAGCTAGAGCCAGAACCAAAACCAAAACCAAAGGAAGAGCCTGATGAGGGCCCGAGGAGGACTCGGAAGAGGAAATAGAACCAGAATCGAAAGACCCTGAGCAAGAACTCGAGTCACTAAATTTCATTGTTTAGGTTACGGATTTTCAGCCCCTAGTCATGCATTACTTCATATGTGAAAACCCACCAAAAGAAGATTTTTAGGACTCGAAGATAATAGAAATAGATGTTATTAATTTAAGAAAAGTTTATTCATTTACTTGATATTTTCTTTTTGAAAACAAATACTATATGTAAGAATTTGGGAATTTTTAAGTTTTTTGCCATTATAAAGATTATTATTATTATTATTGCGTTATCAAATATTTCTAAATTAGAATTTTATTAGTGTTAAGAAAATGTCGAGACAATAATAAAACCAAATTGCGGTCATTAGGGATTTGCTAAGGGCTATATAAAACTTGGGTTGACCAGCACATGCTGGTCCTAATAATGGAAATGCTAAACACCAGCTCAATTGTGGAACAGTTCCGCTGCCAAAAACCCCCAACCTTCGATGGCAAGGTTGACCC